AATGTCTTTTCTAAGGTAAGGAACCCAAGACTGAACACAATATTCCAAGTGTAGACAGATGTACATAGATTTTACTACGTTACATAGTAGTGATAAAAATATTATCTTTATCCATCATCCACCTATCTCCAGTTTAGTTTAACTTGTAGCTCAAATTAGTCACCAATATTAAGATTAAATTGTACTTCAGGCTAGATGAATCTTTAGTTTATAACTTCAGGATAATGATTTGAAATATAAACGTGATCCTTAGCAAAACAAATATAACACAATTTTTATTAATGTTAGAGAATTTATAAAATAGCATGCATGTTAGACTTCGGAGTTTTACATTTTTTATACTAGGGTTGTGCTCGGTTTTGGTTTTTATATTTTTATAATTCTTAAAGTTAAATGATTATGAGTGATTAAGAATTTCATACTTTTTTTGGGGGGGAAATAAATAATTCTAGTCAGTCATGAGAATCAAAAAGCTTTTGCTAAATTTCTGAATACTTAACAGGCAACGCAAATCTTTGGAAAACCAAACAAACCTAGATGATGACAAGAAATCTGTTTTAGAAACGGAGTTAAACCAAACTAGGTCACAATTAACAGAATCGGAGAAAAATAATGAAGAGGTAGGTAGATTGTTTTGTATTAGGTATATAATCAGTTTTATATGGAAATTGGACTGAACTGCTTTCTTATTACTTGCATAATTTTAAGTACAGTCTAATCTTGTTACTTTGTTTTTGATATACTATACAAGGTTTGGAAATATTGCATTAATGTTCTGTATCTTAATTCCTGTTCTGGTACTCTTATCTTGGATAGTAAATACACATTAATTTATACATTTAGTAGTTTTCAACCAGCAAGTTTTCTTCCCTTTCTCTTGTACAGCAATTATAAAAACAGCTAAAAAGAATAAATTTATATTTTATGTAAAAGAATAAATACTGCTTGTGTGTTTTCCCACCATTATCAGTAAATGGTGACTTGTAGGTAAAAAAACTGCCTGTCCTTGTTTGTTTTTGATGTACAATGGTTTTTATGAATAACTTAACCATTCTATCTTATTATAGCCATTTTGCAAGTTTTATTATAAAGTGATTTATCAAGAGCTAAATGTCAAATAGACAAAAACCTGTGAGTGGTTTATACCAGTTATTTCTAAACCCAAAATTTCATGGACTGCTCTATACAATATTAACTTCTTTAAGTACTTTTAAATGACACTGTAAAACTATATACTTCAATAGCTATATTTTAAAACATTTTTTTCAACTGTATTGTGAAACTATCTCCCTATGGACAAGCACCAGTCCATGGACTAGTAGTTGGCAACCACTGGTTTAGATCAAATATATTATAGATGCAGTACTAAACTTACATGTACATGTTGTATCAGTCATTGCTATAATGTTTTTTCTTTTAATTCCAGAGAACTATATTCAAACCTTTCTAAGTATTTCATAAGTTTAATGGCCATAGCTATTTTAGTCTTGTGCAATCATATCCTTTTACCTTGACATTTTTATTGTTTCCTAGGTATATTTTATATGCCACAACTATATTGTGAATTAGATGAGAAACTAGTTAAAATAGCTAATTTATCATAAATATTTTGAATATAATGGTATATTTACATTTATATATATATATATTGAAAATATGAAAATGATGTGATCCATTATATATATATATATATATGGATGTGGTCTTCTCAAACATATTTAGTTTATAAATATTCAAAGCACTACCAAGTTTGAAATATCATTTATTTTCATTTATATTCTTGATTTTGATTTGCTGGAAGTGCTTTTGCAGCTTTAACACTGCTTTTCAACAAACAGCTTATTTTATAGTGTTAGATGTAGAGGAAATAATCAGTCTTGCACTCTTTAATATGAACATGTAACCCTGGTATATACCATCTCATGTATATATGCACATAAGAAGTTAAAATGGGTGATATAAACTATAAGAACCTCTTTCATAGATGTAATTGTAAATGTTTTATCAGATTCATTTTTAGGGAATAACTTGATTAAGGAAATGAAAGTAACAATAAAAATGTGTTTTTTGCATCCATTTTAAATTTATTTATTTCAGATTTCATATCAGAGGTGTATAAAAATGGCATTTAGATCGATCTTTTGTCTCTCACAAGCTATTATCCTGGAGGCCTTTGGTTCAATACCAGAACTTGCAGACAAAAGATAGATCTGAAATGCTATTTTTACAAATCTGTGATCTTAAATCTGAAATGAGCAAATTGAGTGGAAAGGGGGGGGGACACTTGTAATTACACAGATTTTATTTTTATCACATATATTAGGACTATTGGTTTCCAGTACATTGCCAGCTTTTTGCATTTAGACCAAAATTGTATAACTCTTGTACTATGTATGTATGTATATATATATATATATATAGCATTTCAATTTGATTTTTGTCTCTTATTTTTTCATCCCAACCAATGAGTTCTGGTATTGAACAAGAGCTACCTGGGCAGGATTTGTGGGAAACAAGATAGATCTAAAAATTTTATTGTTACAGTTCAAATATGCTATTTTTAATGCTCATTATTTGAAATATAAAGTGGACAAATTAAGAGAAATATATATAATTTCCATGTTTGTTTTTTTTGTTAAAATTTCAGCTGATATGTAATTAATGTTTAGCATTTAATTAGGTATAGAAATAGTACAATTATCACAACTGACAAAAGTCATGAAGAGAATTAGTTTTGACTTGCATAAAACATGAATAATTGTAGTGAAACATAGATATAAAAATGAAGTGGTCTATGTTGCTCTATAAGGAATAACACAAAGTGGTTAAAAATAAATAGACAAAAATATTTAGAATGTATTACAAAGGCTTAATTGAATACACCTTATAGCAACATTTTTAGTAACATAGCTCAAGAAATTTCCTTCATTCCTGCACATATGGCAGTGTTGTTTCATGGTTGCTTTGCTGGGTTCATGCATATGACATCAATTTATAGTTATTATGTAGTTTGTATTATATTTTTGCTGTTTTGAAACGTTTTAAAATATTGTCATCTAATCTTAAGCCTTCTTGTGGCCCACCAGTTGGAAAACACTGCTGTATAGCATTGATGAAGATAGGTTGTTGTTTATTAGTTAGTAAAGTATATACATGTAGACATATGATGATTATAAAGCTCCTACATCAGCAAAATTAAATGCTACTTTGCACGAGCACCCAGGAACACCAGGGAATTATATAAAACCAGTTCTATTAAATCTTTACGCTTGTACAATTCTTCTTGCAAAAATAACATTAAACATCAAACCAATCTTGATAGGTAACAAGTTCTCTGTTCATATGTTTGTGACATGTCTCCTTATCAGAAAACACTGATATGCCCTCAATATAACTGACAGTCCTTTTAAACTAAAACTATTTGAATATCTGACAAATATTTTAATTTGTTTATTGTAGTTAGGCAGTGTGTGTTATCTATCATATGATAAAAATATAATAACCTAATGTTTTTATGTATATTAATTAAGTTTATCTTGTTTTATGTATATTGCAACTGACTTTGTTCTTTATGATTTTTCCAGTTCTAATGATCAGAAAGTTAAATATTACAAAAATATTGTAATGAATAAATTTAGTTTTATCAAAGCAGCACCAGAAATGTAAACTTTAACATTTTTGCATTATTTTATACCTTAAATTTTAGAAGAAGAAAAAACTGAATGTTATGTATCTGCTTGTTTGTTAATTTCCGGCAGAAATTCTTTCCGGGGAACTTCAGAGATACAAGTCCTGTTTTGATTAAACCAGTTTATTCTTTCTCAATACAAACTTTTAGTGCACAGTAATTCCAAAGTCAGTACGTTTCTCATCACTTTAAACTTAACAACTTTTATAATACACGCTATAAATCACAGCAATTTAAAATCTCGATAACTTC